TTATTACATTGGATATCGGCTTTATTTTATTTTTATTTTTTTAAATTAACTTGTCAATATTTTATATTTATTAAATTGTTAATAATTTAGTATAAAATAATTAAAGCATTGATTAATTTATATTATATTCTTTTCTAAAAAATTGCAATCTACCCCAATAATTAACCTAATTTTGATAAGATACCCCCAAATCAATTTCATCCTCAAAATCGATTTCACGAATGAAATCTCGTGAAATCAACTTCAGCAAGAAAAAAAAAACTCCGTCACCCCTGCTCCTTTCCATTCGCCACCGCCGAATCCATTTGCTCATTTGCCGGAGGTGCTCGATTCCGCCTGGATATCGTGTCATCTGGAACTTGGAGATCTGAAATCGATCGGCGACACACAGGAAGGAGAAGGACGGCGCGGATGGGATCCGCGACGGAGATTGACGGCGACGCTGGTGTTGGATGGAGCGGCGGGGCGGCTAGATGTTGGTGGTCGATAATTGAAGACGGTGTCTGTGCGGCGGCGATTTGGCTGTTCGGCGGTGTGTTTGTTCTCGTCTTTTGCAGGAGTGATGGTGGTTGGTGTCGATAGCGGGGCCGGTGGTATTTCGAGCCGGTGGCGAGGCTAGTGGTGATTGGTGGCTGGTCTGGTGGTGATAGGTGGCGAGGCTGGTTGACAGGCTATGGTCGGCGACAGGCGGCGGGATTGGCTGGTTGAGGCGGTGGCATCTCGTCGGATTTGCAGCTGCGTGCGGCAGATCTGCCCTGGAGGGGAGGAATTGGTTGCCGGCGGCCTTCTAAGGTTACGGTAGTCGGAATCGCGGCGGCCGGCGGCGGGTTGTGGCTGGTCGGTGGTGTCCGGCGGCGAGATATTGTGTCTTAGTGTGTGTATACTGAGTCTGTGAGTACCAATTAAGTGTGTGTGTGTGTATATGTGTGTGTGAAGGGTGTGTGTAGTGTGTGTAGTGTGTGAGAGAGACGGGTAGGTGTGTGAGAGATAGGTAGGTGGGTTGTGGTGGTGACGTGAGGTGGGTTCCATGGGTATAGAGTCTAATGACATATATACCCTTAATGAATGGTCAAATACATATATTTGACTGTATGTTGACTATTATTTAGTAAAATTTGACTTAATCTTGATCATTGATATGATAGATCTAGTGGTACAGATTTGTTCTTATTTCTTTCACTTTGATTCATTCTCATTTGAGCGCACCTCTATATATATATATATATATAGAGAGAGAGAGAGAGAGAGAGAAGGGATCATATGAGAATGAGAGATAGTGAAAGAAACGAGAATAAATATACACCGTAAGATCTGCCAGATTAATGGTCAAGATGGGGTCACAAGTGTTAGACCACGCAGAATTAGGCGATGGCACAAATGTAATTTCAGTGTAAAATTAAGATAAATTTTCTATGTCAAAGGGCATGGGCGTAATTACTTGTGTGAACACAAATGCTTTAGTGGGCTCCACAACCATCCCAACCCATTCTCTCATCTCTATGTTTTCATCTCCCGATCTGCCATATCTCTCTCTCCCCCACCTACCATCCCTATTTCTCTTCTCCATCGCTCAATACTTCTCTCTCTCCAAAAATTACAGGCTCGTCGGCGTGAAGATCCCACACACACCACCAACTCTCATGACGCACGCACAGGAGATCAGAGACATCTTCCTCCATTGGTCGGCGGCCGACGGAACTGTTGTGACGCGGCGGTGGCGGTGGATGAGGGCGTTGCGACGCGGTGACTGACGGAGTCGAAAATATGTGCTTGTGGACGGAGACGAGGCATCGAGCCGACTGACAGAGATGAGGCGGCGAGCCAGCGGCGGAGGAAGACGAGGAGTCGCGTCTGCTGAAGGTGACGATGCTATGAAGCGGCGAACTGCGGCGCGACTCGACGGCGAAGGCTGTCCGGCGGCGGCTGCGTGTTGTGTGCGAAACGACGCCGGCGGTGCGCTGAAGTAGATGGACGGCCGGGGAGGAAAAAAATGTCCATGATTGATCTATTTCATCCACTTGTGAATTGTGGGGTTTTTGTATGTAAATTAGATAAATTATTGGGGTTCATTTGCAATTTTAAAAATCTGTAATTAAAATAGTGAGTTGATGCTTGTTTATTTGAGTAATTGATGAGAACACAATTGGTGTTTAATTATATATTTTACTACAAGTATTTAATAAAAATATGTTAAATATAGAGTGTTGATAAATAATTTTAACAATATATGTATGGTTATTCACTTAAAATTTTATAAAATTATTATTAGCATTTTATATTTTTCAATTAATAATTTTATACTATTGTTTGAATAAAAAAATTAGTATATACGTACATAAAATATACTATGCAATCTAACAGTTATTAAAGTGCAATTCGTCCAACACTATAGTGCACGGTGTCGGTCTGTATAGTGCATATCGGACCACCTGTATGATTGTCCCAAGTCAAATTGAAAAAGAACATAATTAACTTATATATTCGGTTGGGCTAACCGAATTATCTAAAATAATTAAAATATTTTTTATGTATATCAAGATTATATTTAATACGTTAATAATCTTATTTATTATTTTTTATATTATTTCAGGCTGAAAAAATTCGATTTCGGTCGGTCCCAATCTATATTGTGCAATCTAATAGCGGTTAAAGTGCAACGTGTTGTTCTGTAAAGTGCAACTCGATTTTTTATAAAGTGCAATATAGTGATGTGTAAAGGAAGTGATGATAAAACGTGGTGTGTAATTATAAAGTGCAACGTATTATTTTTTAATGTGCAAAATGTTGTGTTATAAAGTGCAATCGGATGATATATAAAGTGCACTAATTATATGATCATGTATAAATTATGTGTTTTTTGAAACCTAGAGTAGACATGATTGAACATCGAATTACCTAAATAATTTAAATAAATTAATATTTATTATTTTAAAATTATATTTATTACTTTAATATTTTTATATATTAAAATTTTACATATCACTTTATTTATAATTAATATGCATTTATGAGAATATTGGTATAATTTACATATTTTTTCATGAGCTAAGTTAAAAAATACCTGCGGCCGTCACGATGATAAAGTGCAACGTATTGTTATTAATGTGCAACGTAATGTGTTATAAAGTGCAATCTGATGATATACAAAGTGCACTAATTATATATCACGTATAAATTATGTGTTTTTGAAACCTAGAATTAGTAGACATAATTGAACATCGAATTAGCCTAAAAATTTAAATAAATTATTATTTATTATTATAAAATTATATTTATTTATTTAATATTTTTATATATTCAAAATTTACTTATTAAAATTTTTAAACATTATTTACTTTATTTATCATTAACATGCATTTATAAGAATATTGCTATAAATTACATATTTTGTCATGAACTAAATTAAAATATAACCAAAATTAATAAGATTGCAAAATTGTCCTCAACAATATGATTTTTTTAAAAAAAAAAACAATTAAACCATAAATCCCTAATTTTAATTTGTAATTTTAATACACATTTATATTTTAATTTTTTATATTACACATTTATCATATTATTTATTTTTAGCCAAAAAGATAGGAATTTTACATATTAAATAACAATATTGAAATATTATTTGTAGTTTGAATAATTATAAATTTGACCCATAAACTAAATTGTAATATATTAAAATAGCTACAAATTGCAATTAAGACCCTATGGTTTGTCATATTTTCAAATGTGAGCCCACAAAATCTGCAAATTTTTCCACGCGTTTCCCTGACTTCCGCCGCCGTCTCTTCTGACCGCCGCCAACGTCTTTTCCTCTCGGACCGTCGACAATTTCACTATTCTCCTCAATACCGGCGACGAGTCGACCTCCTTCCCCGTCGATAATTGCAGTTCATGTCGAGGATCGACTAAACGGCGTCGGCGGTGGACTGTGGCGGTGGCAGGACTATGACGACTGTACGGGCGGTGCTGTGGCGGCGACGGGACAAGGCGGGCGGTGGTTGCGACTGGCTGCAAATTCAGGCGAGTCTGACGGAGGTAGGTGTCCGGCGAGGCTTCACAGCGAGTGGAAGTTGGCGGCACTCGACGGCAGGCGGCAGAAGGCGGTGGTACTCAACGGCGGGAGGCAGCGGGCGACTGGTGGTGCAGCTGGAGTGGTCGCCGGTGCACAGCCGTGACAAGTGTGTGTGAGTAGGTAAGAGAGAAGTGTGTGCAGAGAGATGTCGTGAAAGGGAGAGAGAGATTGTGGAGGAGATGATTTGGGTGGGACCCACCTGTATAATTATGGTTCTTAGGTGTGGTTAGGTGGCTGATAAATTAATGGGGAGTAGGGTCTACTTGTTGGTGTGTATTGTGGAAAATTACTGGAATATCCTTAATGAAGGTATATTTTGGATTTTTTTATAGTCCGTTAGATCGTGCGATCTAATGGCTACCATATATTCTTATTTCTCGCATTAAGAGTCACTCTCACCGGAGCGTGACCCTATATATATATATATATATATATATATATAGGGGTTGGTTCAAATAAAAACTAGTCCTGGTGTGAGAACCGTATTTGATGTTATTTTTAATTGTGTATGATGTTATTTTTCATATTAGATGATACTATCATCTTTACAAATGCTAACAGAAATTGTGTTGCTAATTTTAATATAATTCAACCTGGTTAAAAATAGCACCAAACACAATCAATCATAACACTACACACAATTAAAAATAGCGGTTCTCACAGTTTTCACATTAACACTTGATTCTCGAACCACATCCTATATATATATATATATATATATATAAATTTCAGCTTCTCCAAATTTCAGCTTCTCCAAATTGCCTAATTCGGGTGGAATAGGACCGGAGAGACTATTGTTGAACAGAAACAAAGTATCCAAATTGCTAAGCTGTCCGAGCGAGCTTGGTATTGTCCCCCAAATATTATTCCCGTATACTCTTCTATATATCGTGCATCCAATATATATTAATTAACAATGTTATTTATTACTTTAAATAATTTCCTTGTACCCAAATCCAATCAAATATGGAAACATTTTCAAGAATAATGCTTGCGAATGTATAATATAAGCGTGCACCACATACAAAGACTGAAGATTCGTCAAGTTTCCTAGCTCCGGGGCCAGTGTCCCTGATAACTTCGTGTTGTATAGATTACTGATGACAACAAAAATCATCAGATGAATTAAAGATCATTTACAACTTGTAAAGCATCAATAGAAATGCAATTAGGTAGAGAAATTAACATTCTTACATTTGTGTTACACGCAGGTTATTCTCGTCACAACCGACATTGGGCCATGAATCGGAGTACATTACTGTAACCAGGGCAAGGGTTGTCACCGGTCCAATTATTAAGAGCGCCTGTAGGATCTTCTGTGATGCTTCCTTTAAAGGCCAACAGAAGTTTTGCTATCCGTGAAAAANAAAAAAAAAAAAGAAAAGAAAAAAAGAGAATTAGACTATGTTAGACATGACCTACAATAGCTTCACAACTCACAACCAAGCAACTACAAAACGGAGACCAATGATAGCCAAACTAGCTAGTTGAGATTATGATAGAAGGCGAAGTATAATAGAGTTGTACAACTAAAAAAATAAGTACCTAAATGTATGTATATGATAAAAAATATTGTAATTAATTAAACACATGACCATATGGAACGGTACCACTAAATAAATACAAACTTGCTCATCTAACCACTGTTTAAAAACATAACTATATGGATAGGTACCACTAAATAAATACCTGGCTCTAGAGAACAGTACAATTGTAAGATAATAAAAAAATATTTAATGCAGCTATAATACAATTTCCTGGTATAACAAAAATAATTATTGCACTTATTATACAACTTTAAATATTTAAATATTTTTCATATGTTTTTTAAGTATTGATAGATATTTATATTTTTTTTATTTGTTGTATGGTTGTTACTTAAGATTAATATACAACTTTGACAAAGTTTAATACGTACTATTCATGAATATAATATAATGTTTTAGATATTTTTAAACATGTTAACGAAGTCATATTAAAATACTTTGCAATAGACAAATGCATGTGACTTTACTAAATCTATATATACTAGTAAGCATCCCGTGCGATGCAAGAAAAATTTTGTACCTTAAAATATTTTTTTTAAATAAAAGAACTTAATATTAACATTTTATTAGTTCACTAAACCATTTACATTAATAAAATAATATTTAAACACATATATTTATGTTTTGATAAAAATAAACAAATAAGAATTTTACTTATTTTTGTCCACTATAATACTCAAATATTATTTTACATTAAAATTTATTATCATACAACGTCATTATTATTATTTATAGCACTTATAGAAATAATATTCTTTATATATATATGTATATATAATGATAAATATATATTTAATGTAAATTAATCTTAATTATTGATGTAATTAATTGAAAAAATATATAAACAACTTTAAAATAAATATTTTGTCAAATATGAATTATTCGATTTTCAGAACTTATCATACTCATAATAAATAAATATATTTATATATATATATATAGATATATAATATTTTATGACAATATTAGATACATTAATCATAAAAAAGAACATAAGTAATTAAATAGTAGTACCCGTGAATTTTATGAAAAAAAGTTTTTTTGTAATCGGGATTTTCCGAAATTCTTATCTAAAAAAAAACTTAATCAACTCATATAAATTTGGATTTTTTACAAACTGTAAGAAGTTGTTGTATTTCGATAAATATGGACATCCAATTGATGCTGTTATTTAAAATATTTGAACAAATTTCATCGATTCTATAAAATATGTTGTAGTTTGATAAATTTCTATAACCAATTACCGTGTGATTTTCCGGCAATTGTGTAGTAGGGATTTTTCAAAAAATAATATGTATACGAGTATGTAGTATAGATTTTTCATAAATAATGTGTATTAAGCCTAAAAAATGAGTTATTAAATAATATTATCGGTTTATGATATAATATTTCTAATTAGAGTATTGACTCTTATGATTAATATATTTTCTAAAAATATTGCGTTTGATTTTTTTTTTTTTAAAAAAATCGTTATTCTCTTACGATTTTAATATACAAAAAATAATGAAAAAATAAAATAAACACACTATGGAGTCATAATTTTAGAAAAATCCAAAACACATTATTGAGTCATAATTTTTCAAATATTTACCGTTATTAACCATCTATGCTACAAATAATAATAAATTAATTACCATACACATTAAACATTTAATATACACATTCCCTAAAAAAATATTAAGCATATTAAATAAATAGTTACAATAAAAATGGAAATAAATAAATTATTTCAACTATTATGGCCACTGAATAATAGTGAAAGACAGATAAGGAAACAGACAATCCAAGCCATAATGGACCTGTTAGTTTCCTATCCAGTCTGCACGTTGGCAAATCAAATCACAAAATTTACACAATGAACGTTTTCTTCATCAGAAAAAAATATGGGATGGGGTCGTTGTTAGTGTTATATACTGAAAGCTTGGCTTTGCATGTTATTACACATTTGCCCTTTATGAATGAGAATCATGTTAGATTAAACAAGTTCTACGTTTGTTTGTCCCACTTTTGTTGCATTTTTCGTCATTATTTTTCTTTTATTTTTCCCCCATATTAGGCCTTTTAATAGTTCGTTTTGTAGTTATTTTGTGGTTCGCTCTATTTTAGTCTTTCGTGTGTTTTCCGTGTATTTTTTCGGTTTTTCTTTGTTTATGGTGTGTAGGTCGGAAGCCTCGGGAGGACCGGATTTCAGGTGAAAGTTAGTCGGACAAGCTTAATTAAATAGAGGAGTTCGTTGGGAACACACAGGAAAAAACGAAATCGAATTACGAGTTGAAACGAACCCAAACGGACCCGAGAAGCAAACTCCAGCAGGCTGCCAGAGCATTAGCGCCGCTAAGGCACACAGGATAGCGGTGTTGCACGGTACTGGCTCGAACGGCTAACATGCCTTAGCGGCGCTAAGGTCTGTTTTTCAACAGTTGCAATTTTGAGGGGTTTTGAATGGGAGTATGTTATATTTCCGAACCTAGGGCTAATGTTGGTCATTCCAGACTTGGTATTTTTCGTTTTTCACCTTCTCAAACTCAATTTTCACCTAGTTTTCATAGGATTTGATCTTGGATTGTGAAAACACCAAGATTAAGCTTTTGGATTTGGATTGCTCGTTGTTTCTTTCGACATTGGATTCGTATTTATCGTAAACTTATTTTTCATTTCATTGATGAATGTTATGGCTTTGCTTCATATGAATGTTGATGTTGAATTTGTGATGAGTAGCTAAATTTGTTAACTAGGGCTAGAGAATAATTGTTCCGGTTCAATTTAATTTGTATGAATGTTGATTACTCTATCTATTCGAGTTGAGTTAATCCTAGGGTTGAATGACTGATCACCATTTTAATCCACTAAATCGATTCTTAGAACCGAAAGTGGAGGAATTGATCGACTTAGGCTCGTTTAGAGTAGACTTGTTCGGAGACGTATTGTCTATGAGCTAATTGATTCAATGATTGTTCGTTTATGTTTATTCCCTTGTTACGTGAGTTATTGAGAATAGATCTCTAGATGAATTGGTTTCTCGAACCCTTTAGCCGAGTAGTTGATTGCCCATTAAATGTATTGAGAACCGGAAACGATTGTCCCCGACGCCCTAGTCCTTTTACAATTATTTGAATCTTGTTTGAAGTTGTGTGATCGAAATTGTCTTGTTTGAGAATCAGTAGTGGTTAATCTATTAGCAGATAATCGAAACCAATCAATTGAATTAGAGTGTTTAGGACTTGTTTTATCTTTTCGTGTGATTGAATAGTCGTACAAATAATCCGGCTGACCTTCCTTGAGACACGACCCGGTGTTCGAATCTATCGATTGTACTCCGGTAAAAAATAACTACAACAAAATGGCGCCGTTGCCGGGGAAGGTTTAGGACATATTTTGTTCGCTTATTCATCTTATTTTCCGTGTTTCTCTTTGGTTTTTTGTTTTTCTTGTTTCCGGTGTTTCTTTTTCTTATTTTATTTTCTTTTCTTTACTAATGGTGCTCGTAACTCATTGTTTGATTGAGTGTATGCGTACCAGGAGTGGACGTAAACTGTCTTCAATCAACAAACCATTCAACGAGAGCCTGAGAGAGCTGCTAGACGAGCTTACTCTCGAATCACACGAAAAAGGCGAGCATTCTCCAGAATCATCCGAGGGGAGTAACTCAGAAATGGCCAAACAACAACCGTCTCGCAACATCCTTCGAGACTTGGCCCAACCCATGATCGGGCCAATCACTTCACGCATCCGGTTGCCACAAGAAGCTCGGAACTACGAGCTTAAGATGATCCATTACAACCAGCTACCGTCTTTTCATGGTCTTCCAAATGAGGATCCACTCCACTTCCTCCGAGAGTTTTACAATGTCCTCCAGTCGTTCCCTCTTCACGGACTGACCGAGGAACAACTAAAGATGCGATGCTTCCCAGAGACTCTGAAGGACCGGGCCAAGGCCTAGTTCATGACCCTCACACCGGATTCTCTCACAACTTGGGCTGAAGTCTACACGAAATTTGTCGGGAAGTATTATTCCCATCAGAAGACCCAAGACATCCGGTCCCAGATAGTCTCTTTTGCTCAACTGCCAAATGGGCCTCTTCATGAGGCTTGGGAACGATTCAAGGACCTCCAACGGCAGTGCCCACATCACAACCTCGCTCCAGGGCTATTAGCGAATTGTTTCTACGACTCCCTCCACCAGAACTTGTAGTTTATGGTAGATAACGCAGCCGGAGGGGATATTGGGGCCAAAACAGCTGAAGAGATGATTGTGATCTATGAGACGATGAGTGCCAAATCGTCTCAGAAGAGTATCAGAGGGAAGAGGTCCACAGTGAACGAGGTAGGACTGGGCAATAATGTCATGGCCCAGCAGTTAGCTGAGCTCACGGAACAGATGCGGCTACTAAATGCAAGAGGAGCTTCACCAGTTCAGACCATGGCTGTGAATGTGTGCGGAGCCTGTGGAGTCCAGGGGCACAGCTCTGAAGTGTGCCCGTCGGCTATTGAGCTGAATTACAGAGGGCAGAATGTTGAGGTTAACGCATTGCAGGGGTATCAGAACCGGCCCGGAAACGACCCCTACTCGAACACGTACAACCCCGGGTGGAAAAACCACCCAAGCTTCTCCTGGTCTAACAATAACTCCCAGCAGCCGCCTCAACCTAACTTTGTCCCCCATCGCAGCAACACAGGGGACAAATGTTAAGGTTACCAGCACCAGAAGCCGGACCGAGCCCGTCAAACTCAGATGAGAAGCTGGATATGATCCTCCAGTTTTTGGCCGACAACAAACAACGAACCATGAACAATGAAGCCTCCAT